TTCTGTTTTTGGAGGCTGGACTAAAGCCAACATGGTCCTAATGATTTTTATAATAGATTGATCTGATGATTACTTCACTGACTAATCATTTCAGCTCTAGTCAAAGTGTTGACAATATGACAATTCTTTACAGATAAGAGATCGAATTGATCACGTGTAAAATATAAACCATTTGCACTGATTGCACCTCCGCTTTGCAACTGAACAACCTATATGTAAGAATGAATTGATGAACTCTGACAAATCAAGTGATAAAGAGAAAGAAAGGCAGTGTGTACTGGAAGTTTGAGAGTCTGACACAGCGGCAGTGGCCGATGAGCAAGAGATGAGGCCTGCTGTAATTATGCACAGTACCGCAAACTGACTCTAGCTTGTCATTTTAACTGGGTGGTGAAAGCTGCAAAATAAAGACATTACCCCAATTTTGGTGGTGTAGCTGGAGGGGAGGCTAGGGAGTTTCCTCTTCTTTTTACCCAACAAACTAGCAGAGGGAGAACAAGTGCTACTTAGCATGCAGTGGAGCAATGACTCATCTTTTCCTCCTTTGATTTATTCACATCATGGCTGAAATGACATGCATGTGTCTCATAATCCAGGGACTGCTGGTAGAACCAGTCCCTGGTTGGATTTAAACTGTCTGAAGAAGTCTTAATGCTCAACGGTTGATAGGTCATCAATTTTAAAGATAAATGGCAAAATGCTTTTGGTGGTCTGGACTGAATTAAGATCAATATGTCAGAAAAAACACTTCACTTGTCTTATAACAAAATATCTTTAATAATCTGAGCATAACCTACACACTTCATAAAAAGTCCAGTGATTAAATATTTATTAATGAACACCTGGCAAATTTCTAACTGGTGGTGGAGTTGAAGGAATATCCAACCAATTTTTGCATAATATCCCCAAAAAACGACGACACAACCAGCACCACATTTATCAGTGTTAGTTGTTTGCACCATCTGCATCCCAGTGTCCCAAATGGATACCTCTAATGTGCACCTTCTAATTAGTTGACACTAGATGTCAATCAATGCAAAATTAAGTCACGACTACAGATGGTGTAAACCTGAGGAACAGAGAGAAGAGACTTGTTAAGCGCTAATATGAGAAATTGTAGCACGTCGTGCTGATGATGTTGTACGGTGAGCGTAGTCCTTAGAACATAGCAAATCAGGAATCTGTGCATTACTGCTGCAGTTACTGTATCTACAGTAACTGCGGTATATGTGCCAAGGTGGACCATGGCAGGAGTCCAATACCACTCAAGGTAGCTTGTTTCCTTCTGTTCTACTCGCCATTTCATTTCCAGCTGCACCATTGTCTAAGTATGTGATTACTAAACAGGAAAGTGGCCATTGGTTTTCCTTGTCAGGTGCCCTGTTACTTACAGAAAAGACATAAGTGAGACCTCAGCTGTGAAAAAGATTTGGACCGCAGCCCAGATGTTAGATTAACTTTCATCAAAGTCGATATCAAGTGATTATAAAAACCTACCCTCCACCAACACCCACTGACTAACAAACCTAATTAAGTGGTGCCATTAGCGCCTGGGTGATGAAATGAAATATGAGTGAGGACAGGGGAAGATATAACAAAGTGGGTAAAGAGGAGGATCCAGACAGCATTTCAAGGAGGGATCATTTTAACTGCACACAGACATGCAGAAGAGAGAAAGGAAAGCGGGAAATAAAAAACCTCTGGCATCACGTCCCAAGAATGTCAGCAATGAGCTTACCGACCACATCCCAACACATAAGAGTCAGAGTCGGAATCACATCCAGACCTATAACAGCACTGGAAGAAAGAGGGATTGCTGTGGAACGCCTGAGTGGGAGAAGGAGGCCCTCTGACAGTCCAATGAGCATCCTGCATTTACATCACATGACGCAATCCCACAAATGGTTCTGAAATTGTTCCATGCTGCCAAAAGTTTCTCTTAAAGGGAAAAAAGACAGTGAGAGAGTGGGAGAAAGATTTAAAGGAGGAAAGAGAGAGAGAGAGAGAGGGGAAAGAGAAAAGACAGGGAGGCGTTGTGGAGAGGGTTGGAGGGAGAAGGGAGAAAACATAAGGCGATGTGTTTTACTGCATACCTCGGGCTGGGTCACTACGAGTACAGAAGAGACATAAAACAAATCAGATCTGGAATGACCCGGGCTGCAGAGAGAGCAGGGTCTACATGGGCTTGTGATTCACACATAGAAGTAGATCTAGGCCCAACAATAACAGTAAAAAAAAAAAAAAGAGGGTGAAAAAGGGAAACTTAGAAGGAGGAGGAAGATGGTCGTGAAGAAAACAAGTACCATTAAAAGAAAACATGATCTGGGATTGGTGACAGAGGAAGTTTAATTCAAATCTGCTTGGCGTTTAGAAATTTCCTCAGAAAAAACTAAAACAAAAAACAATACATGGGGAGAACAGATAGAGGAAAGACAACAATGGACAAAAAGAGACAATGTGGACCTTACAACACTAAAGTAGAAAACTGAGTCTGTAATTCAGCTAAACAACTGGCTGAGCAGACTAGTCCAGTCCTGTCCCTTCGCCTCTCTCTCTCTCTCTCTCTCTCTCTCTCTATGGGTCTATCTCATACTGTTTTCCTACGATCACAGGGAGCATGTTACGGCAGCAGTAATAGCACATGACAAGGTGACCTGTGCCCCACACAGGATGGGCTAAACTGGGGTGGAAGGGGTGGGGGGTCTCATGTCCCGTGTCCAACCCCTATGGTCTCTGCACCACTCCCCCCCCTGCACAGGCCCCAGTGCTGGCCTGCAAGGGGAGAGAGAGGCAGTGACGGCAGCCTGCCCCCTTATGCTGGGCCCCTTGCTGGACTCTGGAGAGGGGAAAGAGACGAGGCAGGGAGAGGCCCACTCAAACACACACCAAAAGTCCTGTTTATGTATATGCTGAATTTGACAGAGAATGCACATTCTCAAGCACACGGAGTTGTGCACGCAGAAAGCCAACTGGACAGAACTGGACAGACAACAGACATGTGGGTGAGGTGGGTGCAAATACACTTAGGCAACGTTGTCAACTTTAAAGTCAAAGTCAACGTTATATAACCTCCATAAAATCCTGTCTCTCTTTCAGGAAACTCTTCTCTTAGAAAATGTAAAATATAACAAATTGTATTTATATTTCTAGAAAAAAGTCAACTTTTGAATAGTGAAAATAATACAATTTCATCTGTAATCCACTTATACTGTACATCCACCTAGATATCAAATAGTGACATCTATTTTGCTTTCCAAGAAGAATTCTTTCTGCGTGACTTGCACTCCCTATACAACAAATATTACCTGTGTGATGCGTTTGGCCTAGAAACCATCAACCACAGGAGGTAATTCAGGACCCAAAGACATTAGGGGGAAGTTAACACTTCATTAGTCTGAAAGGCAACTGAACATATATGGCAAACAGCACGCATGCAGAGTACATACAAGTGGGTCTATACAGTTAAGTACAGCAGCCTCTTTCTTCCTATAGGGTTACATGTGAGAGGAAGCGACCAATTACTGTAGTCACGAACGGGGGGAGGGGCAGGGTATTTCACTGTACAGGACTTACTGGACTGTACCATTACCACAGCTCACAGCTCCATGGACAACCTGCTACAGTTACAGTCAATAAAGACACAAACCGAGCCCAGCTCGTCGCAGGTCTGCGCTCAGTCCTACTGACAAATTAATTGAAAATTGAGCCAAAAGCTGAAACATTCTTGGTCCTCATTTGGGTTTGTGTTTCCCGTTCTGTCTCAAATAATACAGGTTCTACTGTAAATTTCCACCTCATATAAATTCAGAACATATGTGACCGTTGATCTCAAGTCCAGTAAGTTGTTGAGAAGGGAAACCACATTTTTATTTTTTTTTTTAAACAGGCTGATATAAAAACAACATCCTACCAGCTATTTTTCAAGAGTCAAACAGTTTCATAAACAGAAATGGATAGGTGTGAGAATTACAGCACTAAGCTCACTGGCAAAATAGGCTGGAATATATACCTCTTGCTGTGAGCTGTATTTGGTCCCATTAGATTTTCTTTTAAGTGACGAGAGAGAAAAAGCTGGAGGCTGTTTAAATTTCAGACTTAAGAAAGACAAGACGCTCATGTAATTAATGTTGTCATTATCAGCCGGCAGCTCAGTTCTCCATGACTATGAAGTTAGTGGTTAGGGTGTGAAAAAATATGATTGTAGAAATATAAAGAAAAGTCTACCTAGCAACTGTGTGTTTGCTCCTTCCATGCTCGGATAAATTGTTGTACTGTTATGTTACATGACAAGCTATATTCTGCGCTGAGATCACTGAAGCTTGTAACTATTTCACCATGTGTTAATCAACTGACGTTTATTCAAAGGTGACTAAATATCAAGCATGTAACCTTTATTTCATTACTTTTGATTGCATGTAGTATTTATAATTTATGGGATGAATTTTCACCCTGTAATTGTATGATATAATGTTCTCATTTGGACAAACACACAGCTTATTGACTGTACTGACAAATTCCTTTTCAGTCCTTTCATTACACACCACATAGAGTCTGGCCCAAGTCCTTTGGTTTCAGCAGTGTCACTCATTTAGGTCACATCTTGACAAGTCATATTAATTTAACCCAAGTTTTTAAAAGTACTAATATGTCCAATTTAGAAACTGCAAATGTTAGCACTTCAATATACTGGTATTGCAGTCTTATTCATTTCAGCATTGATAGTAGCCCATGCATTACTCACTACCTGATTCTTAAGAGAAATCTTTAGACATGTATGATAAGAGTGAATGTATTTCTAATAACCAAAATATCATATTAGTGAAATCAAGAGACTGCATCAATCCCAGAAAATCTGTGCAAAAATGTGCAACTTCAAAGCAAACACAAAGCACGTCTTCATTACACGTGAATAGATTTATCATTTCCAAGACAGCAGACTATCAAAATACACGAGTGCACATTGTAAAGTATGACTTAATAGCAGAATAAAAATGTCTCACCTGAGGTTTTAGCATGCCCTTGTACAATAGGTTAGACTTGAAACCTTTCTTCCGTTTATCCCAAGTTGTTAATCCTGTTCAATACAAAAGCAAAATGGCATGTCGCAAGTTACTGAGTGGGCCTATACCTGACCTGCAGTTGCTCTGTTTATGTAACACTGAATTCAACAGCAACATACACACTCACTGGTAATCATCACACAGCAGTAATGCAAGTAGGTAGGCAAACACGTTGATTAAACAACACACTTAAAACTGTGCTAAACCTGTTTCTTCAGGGGTCTTGAATAACAGAAATCACATTAACTCAAGTCAAGACTTTAACATTCCTCCTGTGCATGCGATTTTCATACCTCAGCTCAACTTTTCCCCATCAAGACCGAGTTTCTTTTTAATCCTCTTTAGTCGCCGTTTCTCGTCGCCTTCATGCTCGTGCAAAGTGTGTCCCCTCCATGTTGTTGCCTGGTTGGGTTAGCTACAGGGAGGGAGAGGACTGCGTTGCACTAAACTCAGAAATGTGAGGAGACTTGGGGAGAAAACGTCAAACTCGTACGCCCTTCCAGACGTTGGCTCACACCGCGGCGCTGGTAGTAAGTTAGCTAACGTTAGCGTGGCTAGCTGGCTGCTTTAACCCTAAAACGCGGCACCAAGTTCAGCCAGCTCGTTAACCGTTAACCGTTAACCGCGGCCAACGGATGTTCAACGGAAAACCGGTTGAGGCGCAGCTCGGTATCACTGACGGGCAAACGTACGCGCTAACATGAATAAAACTCAATCACACCTTACGGTAGTCCGACGAGAAATACCCCTCCTTCTTCAGGACCCAAATAGATGGCCATTACTTTTTGTTATGCACCGCCCCCTCTTCAGGTCCTCTACGGGAAAGAGGGATTTCCCCCCCAGCCCCTCCGGTAACCAATCACATGTGGGCTCGGCGCGTCTCCCGTGCGCTGATTGGTGACATTTCGGCCCAGCCCGGCTGTGTTTGGTGGGTTCCGGTGCCCGTACGGCGGAGACCCGCCCCCTCAAACAGGGGTGTGTCGTGACGTCAGAGGTAACGAAGAGGTAAACAACTTTGACCGCGTGAGCTTTAAGGCAACATCGTTTTGCCTCTGATCTGTGAATCAGCGGACACCCGGTGAGGGGATTACCGGGCTAACATTAGACACGCTGTGGTGTCTCAATGGGTGGAAACCGTCCCGTTGAGGTCGTGTTTCTCTCTCTTGAACCGAAGCGTCTTTGTTTTGCGGCTACGGGCTTTAAGCCCTATATTTTAATTTTAAATAAGCCACAACACCATCCCCATCGATATCACGCGGGGGAAACAATAATATGAGCCCCGTCTGGTCCTTAATCTTCCATTTTATACATTTTGTTTCATTGTTTCTTTGACACTTTGCAAATGTGTGCAGTGAGGCGTGCGTATTGGAGGGGTGTGTCTACTCTGCAGTACAGTGGTAGGCTGGGAAGCAATTCCGCTGCATGGCGATCTTGCCATACATTTGCAATGCATGAGAGATTGCCGAGTATGCTAAAAATAGACGATTAAAACCCTCCACTACACGACCACACTGGGCAAATATTGCTGATACTCTGTGCCATTCACCGAGATAGAATCTGGGGTTTTTTTTTCGACCCACTTATTTGGCTATTTAAATGACATTTGTTCATTCACGGTTGTGTGCACTTAAGAGCTCTGGTATGTGGTGTAAATGGTGATATATGTGTGTGTGTGTGTGTGTGGTGGGGCCAGCGGAGGGGGCCTGGGTGAAGGTCAGGGGTGTGTCTATAATGTAAACACAGTAAAGGCGACAGATACGAAGGGGAGAGGGAAAGAGAGAGGAGGGCCCCATCCGGTCCCATATACCCTCTTCCAGCCAATTCTTTACTCCTGCTGCAGTCTGAAAACAAGAGGTAGATTAGTGTAGATTGTAACGCGAATACAGATCGCGGCTGTGCAAATTATTCCGCTTTTTGTTCTCCATACAACAGTAGCTGCCTACAAGCAGTACACAATTATTTCTGACGTTTGACAAGGTCTAAGACATTTGTTTTTGTATAAAATAATAGGCTACCTTTTACAAATACATTTACTCTTTAAAATACAATACATCTAATCTTTTTTGCTCTTTAAGATATAAGATTTTACAACTGGAAACAGCCAAGTATTTAAACAGACAATGAGTCAATGTCAAAAACAGATTATAGCAATAACCAAAAAGATATAGGCTGAAACCGTAGTGTATTGTGCCTACCACTCTCACAACTGCATGAACAAGCTCTTCTGTCACACCTATCAAATGTGTATCAGGTATTTTGCACCATCCATTTATCCACTGCATTGATCTGATAGTCAGCACAGAACTGCTAGATATATGTCGTGCAGTGCTTGTCTGCTTTCTAAATACCCTACCAGCACTGCCTTGCCTCCGAAACAACAAGAATTTTCACAACAAACATTCCCTAAATATTCCAGTCCACTCCACATTAGACAGTCATACATTTTGTACCCGCCATGTGGCTAAAGAGTACAGACCACTCAACAATTAGGGCCACACCAGAAAACCCAAGCATTCATGTGCAAAGTTCAATGTCAGCTACCGAGTTAGTTATGTCCAGTTGTGTCTGTCTCACCCTCAGAGTCAGCATATCCCGAGCCCTGCAGCACCTTAGACATGTGTCATAAGCTTGTTAACTGTTGATTCATGTACACTAACTAGTAGTAAAGTATGTGGGTGTTAGGTTCATGCTCATGAAGAGTTGATCCTTGTCCTGTGGCTTGGGAGGTCTCCAGGTCTGGCACCAGTACTGGATCCAGCCGTTCAGCTAACGGGGATTTATTTGACTCCACAACACCCATGTCAGACATGTATCCTGGCCCAGCCATTTTGTGTCCTCAGATGCTCCGGCCCTTCACAGTGAGCTGGCTTGCTGTCTGGAAACCAGGAGAGTGGAAATAATAAATCAGAAACACTTGACCCACTAAAACTACGGGAATTAGTATTCGTGGCACTGGGGCAGAGACATAAATAACTTGCATAGTAGCAGAGCACATGCCTTAAGGACAGAAAGATTTGATTTTAGGCTATAAATGTGCAACGGGACAGTACAGGGCGTGTAAACATCAGTTGAACACACATATTCGTATGCATATGCAAGCAGTAATGTGGCTGCAGATTTAGAGGAGATGCATTAAAGGGGAACGTGTTTCCATTATGGTGCATTATGACATTGATACTCTCATCACAATATGATGAACTAAAGATAAAGATAATCATTTGTGGAAGTGATGCACTGAACAGAGTAAAGGTTAATAGACATAAAACATGTTGTGGATTGTTTTGTCAGGGAACAAAACTGTAATGTTGCACAAATTATGAGCAGATTTCACAAGGTGTCATCTGTGTTTTAAAGTCAGAGAACAACAACAACAACACACACACACACACACACACACACACACACACACACACACACACACACACACACACACACAGCTTCATCCGGTATAGACACATCAGATAAGATAAGAAGTTTAACATCATGTGTCTTACATTTTTCTCAACGTTGTCAACCCTCCATCATTTAGAGACAGCTTTTCTGGTCTGGGGACAGTCACAGAGACATAAAGGGACACACACAGCTGTGTGTCACGTCCCAAACAAGATAAACACACATGTTTAGGAATAACAGTAAGAATGACACAGAATCTCTAAAAGCACTCACTGTGTCCAGCGCCGACATGAGCAGAGCCCTCCGGTGCACCAACCCACTTAAAACACCTGACAGAATCTCTGGCCAGCTTAGCATGTGCTGATCAGCTGGCAGGTGCTCTTGTGGATACACTCAATCTTTGCCTTCCCCAGTTTGTAATGTTTGAGTGCAATACAGCATGCATTCATGTTGTGCCTATGAAACCCAGGAAATCCTGCCTGAGGGACTACCACCCTGTTCCACTTACACTTGTCATCATGAGATGCCTCGGGCTGCTGGTCAAAACTCACATACACTCATTTCCCCTGGGCAATCTAGACAGTCTGCAGATTGCATAGAGCAAATAGATCATCCAAGGATGCCATCACTTTAACCCCACTGAAAAGCATACATGTGAGAATACTGTTGATTACCGCACAGCACTCAGTACAACTCTACTCAAACTCAGGGATGACGTTTGATCACCACCATGTGCAACTGAATCCTGGACCTGCTGACAGGCAGACCACTGGTGGTGAAGATTGGCACTTCTTCCACTCATTCTCGGCACTCAAGCCCAGGCCAGTACTCCCTGATCACACATAACAGTGAGGCACAGCACAGCCCCTCTTTCATCAGTTGGAGAATGACACCACAGCCATCAGCATTGTCACTTACCAAGTTTTCATGAAAGAGGAAAGAAAATCTGATTATTTCTGACTTTCACCAATAGCATGAATTCTGAAACATCTACTTAAACAGTAGGGTATCTAAAAAAACAACACATTTGCAAAGTAAAGAATAACATGATACTTATATAAATTCTAAATACACAATATGTGAGTCTTGGTTTAGTAATATTGGAGCGATGCCAGGAAACTCTGATTTTTACTACTACTCGTAAAAATAGTCTTGAGAGAAGAATAGAGTGCATGAACAGTGGGGCTTTACGATATGGTAAAGAAAAAAATCCGATTGCAAATATTTTGACAGCTATTACAATTGCAAAATGATTCACGGTTAGTGGGATTCATCATTTTTGCATCAAAATGTTGATTTCACAGGAAAAACAATTGTTGGGGCCTGTATCAAACGTGTTTACCCGGAGAACCCAATTTGTTGCGTCTGTGATGATACTGCACTTGGACTGAACAGTCTAAAACAGTACTGTTTAGACTTCAGTGGTTTGTTATACAGTTTTGTCCTCCACTGCCCTGTACTGTTTAGTGTACAGTACATTTTTATTTTATTTTAATGCTGGAGCTGAAGTTTAATCTGCAGCATTTGAAAGTAGTGGAGCCATCTGAAATGTAGTGTAGTTAAACTATTAAGCTTCACAAAATTTAGATATTATTTTTAATTTTAACATTTTACATTAAAAAGTACCTTAAAAGTGTACACAAGTACAGTTAATGTACTATTGTACTATTTATAGCCTACACTAATTTGCAATGTCTGTCATTAAATGGGCTTTTAAAATGAATAAAACTAAACAACAAATACACACAGTAAAAAATCAGACTCCAAAAGGAGTATGTATAAGTTTCACCCTTGATGTAAGACTTAATTATATACAATCAGTGAAATAATCAGTGTAGAAGTGAAATGTATCATTAAATGCTTATCTTCTTAAAACATTATTAATAAAATTTTTTATAAAAGCTAGTATTTGAGAAGCCTTAATATTCTATTAGTTATAAAAAAATAAATGATACACATACATACTGACAGTGTTTTAATGTGTGACGTATGGTTCAGTATAGTGTGAGCTCAATCAAACATATATCTTTTATGTTTTGTATTGCAGCAAATCTTGAACATTTTTGGAATTCCTTTGTCTTCTTCAAATATTTACTTAAGAGACCAAAGGTTATTTTTCTTTTTCTAATTCCTCAGAAGATAATCAAGAAGGGTGGCAGGGTGTTCCTGGACTCCTACAGTTCCTAGACTTCATAAAGCACAAAAATAACAGGACATATTGAAAACAGGTAATATAGTTGCTACATGAGTCAGTTCTTAAATTTAGTGACGCAGTGAGATTGACTGTGACTGACTCATCTTTCATTCACAAACAGAAAAATGTGAAACCTTATACTGTGTTTCTTCATTGTTTTCTCCAGAGGCTTGCGGGGAGCTGCAATATGGAGATCTGACTACACAGAAGACAATGGTTTATTAAAGTCCCTCTAGTTCCCTCTTCTGGGAAGCTGAGAGACAACATGGCCTAATCACCCATTACTATACTGTACTATCATATTATCCCAGTCCCTGGGCTATAACAACACTACAGTGCTAAATCTGTAGTGTTGCCCTTTAAAAAAAAAGGAACAGAGGATGGCACCAGTAAATCCCTGAGTGCCTGCCAATGAAATTAACTAATGTGCAACCGGTTGAGCCAGTTCCAAGCAATCACACCAAACTGGAGCCTCTATTGTGTCTCAGCAACAAAGGAAATATAAATAAGCATTAAGATCTTACGATACTACGGTGTATTTGCCAAGTGACTACCCCTAACTCTCTTTTATCTCTCAACCCAGTGAGAGTTAGATTGAGAATCTGCAAAACAGCTGGCCTCGAAAAACACTTCTGTATCTGGTTAATTATTAGTCTCGGAAGACCTAATAATAGTCTCTGTGTCTTAGTTGTGTGTAATGCACAAACCAAGCAAGCAAGCCCATTCACACCAGTGCAAACAATCTTTTATCCTTGGCCACTGAGCAGAGATCCACTTGAGCAGTGGGGGTTACTTAAAAGCAACTAACTGCTGAAGCCTTCCTTTGTTTTCCCTAATCAGATGTATTTTACTCATTATTTTAATGAGAGTTAAGTTTTTTTCCCAAATGTTTATGCAATCATTTCAGACAACAAGAATCTGTTGTAAAACTGTTGTTACAATTTAGTCAATGTTATGCAATGTAAACTTTTATTTTGAAAACAAAGCTTTTATTTTGGGAAATCGAACTCGGATAACCAGCAGCTTGCTAGCAGATCACCTTATCGAAAGTAATTGACGTGACTCAAACCTCTAGTAATGTAGGCCTATTCGATAACTAATATCGGCAGGCTCGGTTAGACAAACAGGGGCGTCTGTCTGCACCTGTGGACGGATGCGTATGTTAATAAAAACGTTACCTGTGATTTCACACTCCGACGCTGCTGCCTCTCACCACCACACACAGCGAGTTTTGTTAGCTCACTCGAGTGAGCTAGGTTAGCTTTACTTAGCTAACCAGCAATGCCGAAACACGGGGTGGTCGTCACTCCGACAAAGAGTTTAGCTTCCCTAATACCGTACCGATTGGTAAGATGTACGACCGGAAAATTAATATTTCTAAATATAAACGACAGTGATCAGAAGATGAATGGGGAAGACACTGAGTAGTTGTACTTCATGTCAAGTACAGTACTGTGGCCGTAGCTAGCGGAGTTGGTCCCATGGTGTAATGGTTAGCACTCTGGACTTTGAATCCAGCGATCCGAGTTCAAATCTCGGTGGGACCTCATCCTTTTAACTTGTCAAAGTTTAAAGATATGACTTCAGTAGTGAGTATTTTAGAAGCAAATTACGTGGGGACTGAAGAAGTTGTTTGAATTGGTCAATAACGTAAGGGAAGAATGTCAGTGAGCTCCACGATAGATGCTAAGTCTGCAAGCGATGGTCCTGTTGCTTGGGATCAAACTGTTATTTGATGGAACAGATGAGAGGCCAACTTACTTCTTGGAAAAATAGGCATAGTGGCTATATACCGAAGCAGATTTAGGAGAGGAAGGGTCAGCGTTGTGTCTGGATGAGCTCAAGTAAATCAAGACTGTCTTTTGATGTTGAAAAAGCATGACATGTTATGAAGATAGCTTTAGGATTTAGGTTAAGTGATGAGCACACAATTACAGAAGACAGGGCGGTAAAGGCCAGTGTAAAAAGTATATTGGAATACGGAGACAGTGCAGAGGGTAGAATATATCTGTTTGGTTTTATGAGAGCTACTGGACTTTGAAAGAAAAGACATTCAGTAAGACTAAATCCAGGAGGCAGCAATGCAATGTTAAGGAGGCCAACTGCTGTAAAAATAATTAAAAAAAGAAGATATGAATGCTTATGTCATGCAATCATGGTGTTTTAAGGTTATATATGTGCAAAAGCTGAGAATATGTGGCAAATAAGTGCTGCACTTAATCTGATTTACCGCTTTTACCTGCGATTAATAAGTAACAAAAATAACAAATATATAATTCTGTGTGCAAATAGGTGATAAAATATTTCAAAATATATGTTACATGAAGCCTTTAAATGATGAAGCACACACTTTGCATTTGATTTTATTTTATTACATAAAGTTCCTGTCAAACATGACATATACCGTTCTTCTCAACACCTCAGAGGACTAAAATATATTACTTCTTTTACATAAAAATCCATTATGAAAAATAATGATTGTGCTGAAGTCATCTAAATACTGTATATATGGCCATTTATAGAAAACACACATATCAAACAACAACAAAAAGTAATGAAAAAGAAAATTAAACGTTCAAAATGTCTTTATCTTTACACAGTATTGAATTCTTTGGCTTAAAGTTAAACTCCCCTCTAAAACATAACTCACATGTGTTGCCATGGATACTGGTTAGTTGAATAGGGACAAAAACAAGGCCAAGACTAATCTGTGGTAAGGCTCTAATGGCATTACCAACATTGCAGACATTGTACATTGACTCATATGAGAACGTCTTTTGATTCCTTCACATATTTAACTTCACAAAGTAAGGTTTTTTATTTATTGTACTGTTTGTTAGTTCTGTTTTAAGGCTGATCTCCCTTTTACTTGACTATGTAGTTAGTAGCCAGATTCCATTTTATTAAATAATCTCCCCGTCTGTGTTTTACATTGTAGGTGCAGTGAGTGTAATACTCCACTGCATCTGTGGTTATCACTTCAGTAAAAATACACTTATAAGTTAGTATAATTGCAATGGGAAAAATGCTGATTGTTAAAACATGTAGAAAACCATTGAGTTTAAATGTAGCCAAATACACTTTCTCCTTAGATAGTCGCAATACATAACCTCTCTCTTTTATTTCATCACCTCCTGACATTACATAAGGATAATTATGCCACTTTACACCTTAAAACATGACTCTTACCTTCTACTACATTGTTGAAGACCTTCCATGTCTACTTAAGCTTTAAGTGTTGATGTAGAGAAACTTTAATACAAATAACAGTGTGGCAAACGGATTGTCACTCAAGCAGCTTGTGATGTTTGTTGTTCATTGTGTGAACTTGTTGAAACAGGATAACAATAACTTTACCAACAGCAAAATAAACAAAACAACCCATAAACTCTTATTTCAATCTCCTTTGGCTTAGCTTACCAAAGTTAGGTCACTTTTTGGTTTATTGAACTATGTCTCTCTAGCTGTTCGCTCTGTTAACTGACAAATAAACAATACTAATCAGAACTGGATGCTGTTATAAAAACAGTCATACAGCCAAGCACAGTGGTGCCACCTGTACAAATGCAAGCAAAAATGAAGTTACACGCACACACTTCATTAAAAAGAAATATGTCAAAATCATATTAACATCTCCCCCAGATCCCCAATAGTCCAGACTTTTTCAAACTCTCATCTGTGTAGCTGTGGTCCCAGCATGACTTTGTTGATAAAGTTGACAATCGCAACAGCTGGTTGCTCAGGGTCCATCTCTGCAAACAGGTGACATACATTCTCTGTAGTACTGCCCGTCCGCCTCGCCACAAAGCCAAACATCCTGTAACAAAAATCACATGAGGAGTTAAAAGATGGGAGAGCAAATAATATTTAACACTGAAAGAAAACAAATTTTGTCTCATAAAGTAACACATTGTGATTAATTGCCATGCAAAGAAGCACACTGTACCAGTCAATAATATCTCTTGTAAAGAAAAACACACAGTAACGCAAGCACTTACTTGCTTGACGTGCTATCAGAATTAGTCCACCTGAAGCACGGGTACACAGATAGAGAGACAGGGACAAAACGTAGCAAAACATGAATAACAAAGACATGGAGACTGTCCTATACAGACAAGGCACTGACTAGCAATGTGTATTCACCTCTTACAGTAAAAAAAAAAGAAAAAAGCAGACACACAAATTATACAGAACTTATATTTATAAAATATAAGTCAATACAGAGTAAGTAGTAAGAAAGTATTTGTGCAGCAGCAAGCACACAGATATTACTGCCTTTACTAAAGATAAACAGCAGAAGCATCTACAAGCACATATATCAAAATCATACTGTCAATGTCTCAGTGACCCACCTCTGGTCGTGGGGGTCGAGACTGCTGAAAGTCACACTGCTGATTGGGTAGTGTCTCCTGAAAAACAGTCTGTGTAAACAAAAACAGCATTATGACTCACTTGTCTTTGCCGTTAGCTTTAGGAATACTATCTATTTGTTTTTGCACTTTAAAAAATTTAACGCAACAACAAATACCGCTTTTTATATAAATTTGTAGTGGTTGTTTCTAAGATGTACCTCCTTTTGCTGTCGGTTAGAGTGATGCCCTGAGAGGACACTTTGAAGTGGACCATTGTTGCCGCTGGACGTGGACTCAGAGCTAAGGTACACTTGGTTGCCTTGGAAACTGCCTCAGGCCCAGTCAACGACTCGGTTTCCACAGAGTTCAGGTACAGCACGTTGCAAGCTTGATTATGAGAGAGTATGGATTGACAAAAACGTGTGTTCTCATGGCTCAGTGCTATGAAAATATTAACCTTGAGCAGCCTCTGCTGGTCGAGAGTAAGAACTACAACTATTGCATTACATGTGATATTGATACAGCAGAATCTGCTGAAGCACATGTATTACCTGCTCCTTGTTTGAGGAGGTCAGCTGCTGTGCTGGTGTTTGTTGCAGTCTGCATCTCCTGAAGCTCCCCAACCAAATCTGAAACATCATAGTTTTCAGTTACATAACAATACTGTTTAAATGATTGAGGATCAAGTCTGTAACTGTTGTATTAACCTGCAACTCCTTGAAGTGTTGAATTGTTCACTCATAATGAATACATCTTATTTGAAAAGGTAGATATTTAATTTAGGAATAAAAATCATGACATCTTAATGTAATGTACACTGATTTGACCTTTTCCTGGGATGCGAAGGGCACAAGGCAGGGAGATGGGAGTAATTGAATGCTGGTACACTAGGGCAGATAAACTTCCTAAGACAAAGACAGAAAGAGAAAATAGATGAGACTAGAAGGAAATAACAGGTAAAGCGATCAGTTTCAGTATCCCGCACAGTTGTGTCTTCCAGGTAACTGACCGAAGTAGGACTCGTTCTGACAGCCCTTGATCTTCACTCCCCGTGGCCCCGTCTCGATGAGGAAGTGTCTTACCAGCTGTTCCAGAGGATCCCCTGGGAGAGAGGAGAGGAGGGTGAGAAGGGAGGCAGTGAGGATGAAAAATAGGGCATGACTGTCTTACTGCAGAGCATAATCTACAAGGATGCATAAACAAAAATACTGAAAATATAAGATTATGAATGCTATAGACCATATAAAATCATTACGTCATTGCTTTTTTTTTATCACGACCGTGCCTCATTTGCGTTTTTCATTTCATGCATGAACAGAATGAATCACGAATACATAAAAACTTAAAAATAAGAGCTGGTTAAAAAACAGCCCCAGTTATTATTCTTTTTGGTACCTGTGCCTAAATTCGATACCAGTATTAAAATGTGTTTAATTCAGCATGAAAAGTAAAGAATTAGCCATGCAGTTGTTGTCAACTAAAACACCTCATTTGAATTCCTGTGAAATGTTTATGTTCATGGATTTATTTTTCTTCTTCATTATAACAGCATAAATGCAAACAGTGGTTGGATCAGAAACTATTTAACAAGTATTTAAACTACTTAAAACCTGGATTAGTTTTCTGTGATTATGTACATTTATTCCCTGCAAACCAAATAGTCATTTTGAATGTTAAAACAGGCTTAGCAGTTGAATAAAATCACGCAATTACTCAACCATTGAAGTACACAATACTGGCATCAAATTTCTATACATAATTTGTTGAATTGAATTGTGACTTGACATAGGCCTTTTTCACAGCACACATTTTAACTTGTCATGAAACAAAAGCACAGGTGTAATAACATTTACAATGGCTCATTTCTGTCAGTGTGACAGCGAACCAGCATGCACAATAGGACCCTGAAGCTGAACCGAAGCTGCTAAATTCAGGAATTCAAAGGAATTCAGTCATCATTAATTTTTATTATTTACACCTTAATATTTCTCCTCTGTGACATGTCCAAGAAAGGGCCACTGGAAGCCGGCTAGTTTATACTAACAACACATTCATAATGGATACCTTTGCTGCCAATGATGTTGGCATTAGGAGGTGGGGTAGCCACCTTGAGTGCCAGGCCGTAGGCCCCCTGGAAGGAGTTACTGTCTCTGATGAGGAAAGTTCCTGGTTCCTTGTCCTTCAACACAGCTATGGCTATAGTAGAAAAGACACATTAGAGTAGTAAAATAAGAGATGCAACAATGACAATGTGTGGGTTACACATCCAAGAACACCCCGCTGTTTCTGGTATTATGTATTAAGTTTCACTTTACTGTATCAGTTAATCATTAATAGTCAAAAAGCACTAGATTGTTTGGTAATGATGAATACAAACATTGCATATGCCTCATCAGGTCATGGCATCAGGCTTCATTGTGACCCTCACCTTGGTCTCTGGAGATGCCTGGTTTGTACCAGTACTTGGAGCTGTCCTGGACAAACTTTGCATTGACCTTGATGTCTGCCTCTTCCCTACAGCTGTGTTGGGCAGACCCCCATCTCTGCTCTCCCACAGAGGAGGAGAAAGTAACGTGGTGTGTGGGAGAAGGAGCTGAGGAGACCCGGAGTAGAGAGTTGTGTCCGTTCAAGGATCCTGGTGTGGTTGAAAGTCGTTTCTTCTCGGGAAGCGGTGGCTGAATGGCTGGGATGGTGACTGCAGTGTACCCAGTGTATGGTACATGAGGGACGTTTAATAATGGGTAGTAATAGGACGCTAAGGGGAAGGTTGGTGTGTGATATCCGTCGGGCACAGGTGATGGTGGTTTGGTGTTGGATGAGCTGTCTCTGTCTGGAGTCAGTCTTTGTCCTGCTGCATCTGTAGCTGACGTGGAGCGCTGGGGAGAAGACTGGAGGTCTGGGGAACCAATAGGAGAATTTGGGGAAGTGGTGGAAGGGCTAGAACTGAGACTGGCAGAACAGTTCATGGACACACCTCTGCTGCTGTCAGATGGGGTATCACTAGGAAGGGCAGAGCCGTTCAGTTGCACCTGGACCGGGGTGATGATGACAGTGGCATAACTTGACTTCTGTAATTGGTTAGATCCCTCTGCACTTCCTGTGATCCTAGCTGCTCCAAGCTTACCATCAGAGCTCAAACTCTGCTCACTTGATGACTGTGTGGAGTTTATGGAAATGTCGGAACTTTGGGTTTGTGTTTCTCTTGGCACCGGTGTGATAGTTTTGCTGTTACTTGTGTTGGACTCCAGGTGTGTCGAGGTTTCTTGGCTTTGTGGAGGGCTATCAACAGTTACACTAGGAAAATATGGGAAAAATAAGATCATTATCAACAAATATGGATACATGTCATTTGATTTTCAGTATTAGTAGATGTCAAAAATAATAGTTTCACCAACCTGTCTTCTGTGTGTGTGGGACTGCTGCTACCAATGACTGTGTAGTCATGATCAGAGTCCAGTCCAGGGGTGCTTGACTGGCCATTAGAGTCCGATTTACTCTCTGAACCCTGGGATATGTCATCAGGCACATCAGACATGGCCTTTTCGACTTTGAGAAGTAAGATAAAACAAGATGAAGTGAAGTATTAAATGAAAAAAACAAGTGATGAAAGAAGTAACAAACATGTTATTTCAATGAAAAAAACTGAAATTTGTTCTCATTCACCTTTGTGATGCTCAGCGTCCTGGTGGTCTCTAGATTGAGAGGGGGTCTCGGGCAGCCTGCCTCTCCCTGGAGAGGGGCTACTAGCGGGCAGAGGCGAGGCTGATCCAGAGTGGTACCCTGATGCGTAACCCCGGCTCTCATGGCTCTCAGCTGGGGATGACTGATAAGGAGAGCAGGGACAGGAGTGGCAGGGCTGTGGAGGGGTGTGGTACCCACTGCTGGCTCCATCCCGCACATCTATCAGAGACTGGGGACTGGGGTAGCCCTGGTGAGGTCCGATGGCATATCTTGGATGGTCTGGGTTTGGGCCCTGATCCAAAGTGGAGTGACAGATGCGAAATGCCGGCAAGGCTGATTTGCACTGCCAGATCTCCGCCTCTCTTGCCACCTCCCATGGATTTTCACTTTCCCACAGTGGAGGCACCTCTCTTGTTCGTTGTACCCCTGCTCCTTGGGACCAGTGTGGGTTTTCTGATTGATCAGGGTGCAACGGGTGGAATGTTCTAACTGAGGCTGATTGGTGCTCTCGCCTACCGGAGCAGTCCCGACAGGGGCAGCCAGAGGATGGTGTTGGAGCACTGAAGAACATTTCCCTGTAAGGGCTAGAAGGCAGTGACTGATGGGAGAGATGAGAGACTGGATTGTGGCTGGAATAATGGAAGAGGTGACACTCTTCCCCAGTGCAGAGTCTGTTTGAGGCTGGGAGGGTGTGGCTGTGTGGGTGGCTGCGTTCAGGGGTGGAATAAGGGTAGCAGGGCCTGAGGAGACAGGGCAGAGGCGGGGGTGGGGTTGGACGTTCCCAGGGTAACTCTGGTAGAGGATGGGCGCTATGTCGATGGCAGAGTTCCATATGAGTTGAATGGGGAGGCGGGGACACAGATTTGTATGGTAAGGCAGGAAGAGTTTGGCTTTTTGGATGTTTTTTAATGCTGCTACAACGGCCAAGACAATGACTTTTAGAAAGGCAGGGCTCTCGTTCTCTCTCCCATCCAACATCACCACACTTTGTACCTCCTTGACTGCAACGTGAGTGCTCTCGCCTCAAACCCCCAGGACTTGAAGGGTCTCCGTCATCTAAAATTGCTGTCTCTCTGTCCCTTTCTTTCCCTCTTGTTTTCTCCTTTCCTTTATCATCCCCGCCCCCTCTTCTCGATGGACTGTCAACGTTTTCTCTTTCTGGGTGGTTTATGGATGGAGAGGTCTCTTCCAGTTGATCAGAGGGGACAGAGGAGCGTCTAGAGTCAGAGGTGTAGGTGAGAGGCTGGGGCTGACTGGGAGTCTGAGGCTTGACTGTTGGGCTGCTAGTAAGGCATCCGTTGGGTGATGCTGCTGAGGCAGTCGAGCCTGGCCCACGACGCTTCCTCACTTGGGCGTACAGGCTGCCGTCCAGAGGGCCCCTCGTATGAGAGATATCTGGAAAAAACAAGAAGGGAGTGTGATGTTATGTGATATTGATTTTAAGCTCTTAAGCTTACTTTTTACACCTGTGTGCATTTCTTACTTTCCATGCTGTCTTGGTGGTGCAGGTTGAAGTTCTCGTAAGAATCCCACCTGACCACAGGGTCGGAGGTGTTGTAGTCCACTTTGATGGAGGCGTCGTTCTTGCGGTATTCTCGACCTTGGAAAACAGATATTTTGAAATGAAGCATATGCACCAAAGGATATAGTGACAGAGAGACATTTAATAATTATTTACCTTTCATTTTTTCTGGCCCATTGGAGAATATAAACTCGACTGTAGCATCTGGAGAGAACCTGTCATCTACAAAAAGATGAGCATAAAGGCAATGACAAAAATATCCAGACCGTAACAACAGAGACGGATAAAAACTGTCGCAAGAAAGTGTGATCTGTGAAGTGGAAATACCAAAGTTAATAAATAAAGATACTTGCTTTCACTCTTCATAATGGAATCAGAGCATGAAGCAACACTTCAAAGAAATGTATCTGAAATTAGTTTTCTTTTTACTTTCATGCATGAGTGTGGGTAATATTATTTATACATCGCATGCATGCGTCAGCATGTTTGCACTTAGAGTAACTGTCATGAGACTGCTGCTTTCTGAGCCATGTACAAGCATTTCTGTTTCATCTAAACTGTCATTTGATATTTGTCTCAAAATATTCACAAACACCACAGCGATCGGAAAAATAAGTAGGTCTTGAATTATACAGCCATTTAAACCATTTCAAGGAAGCAATAGAAATATGCTTCAGGAGGTTTCCATCTGTACATTCATATGTTTATAATATATTACTATTTTAGTGCAGTAGAGCACTAGTATAATCTAAACAACCTCCCAGCAGGGATGTTGCTCCTACTTGCATACACTACAATACATGCATTTCTTAACAACCTATATGTTTTTATACCTGTGCAGGCCAGGTCCAGTTCAGTCTTGCCAAACCACAGCTGGGCTCCATGAACAGTACAGGTGTGGAACTGGACTCTGAACACCACTTCCCTCTCTGCTGCTCGACTCCGTCGGTGGTAGCACTTCACCTGAAGAGGATGCAGGTAAGAGAGCGATGTACAAATACTAAGCTTTATTTCACATGGAATGTCTCAAAATGTTGACATATAAGAAGACAAATGTGACAAAATAGAAATGTTAATTTTCATTTGCTTTGTTATACTGCTCTGTTTTGTTGGATCATACAGTGTGTATACAGTGCGTGTTGTTGCTGTGCCAACCAATTACCCTCTGAGATAAACAAAGTACCTTTGTATCTTTCTAGGTCGCTAAGGGCTCTGAGTGTTTTTTACAGTCTCAAAAAGACATGCAATGCAGTGTAAGAAAATAATTAAGAATGCAAGTTCATAGTCTACAGAGGATTTGTGGCTTAAGTGGTTTAACAGTAATCAAGTACTTTTTAAAGATAAAGTTACAAAAGTACATCATAGTCAGGAAAGAAAAACACAGCAGTTTAGTAAGCAGGAATGGTTGCAGGATGTGAGACATTGCAGTTATTGCACTGATATACTGTATGTGTGGATATGGATATGATTTAAATCAAAGTAAGGTTTCCAATTAGTGACAGTTCACGATGAGATGTTCCTCACCATAATGTCCCCCTTTAATAATAGTGCTGGCTCCATAGTCACACACAGCTTCCTTGCCCTGGAGCTCTGGGGATCACTGGACACACACACACACACACACACACACACACACACACACACACACACACACACACACACACACACATAGGATAAAAAAGGGCCTTACTAGCTCAAAACATACATAAAACCAGTCAAAACATGTCTCAGTTGGGTAAAACAATGGTAAACAACCTTAACTTTTATATAAGCACAGACCAGCCAACACCTAAACACAGACAGTGGCCAGTATAGACAACATCTGTCAGTTAGACAGGAAGGAAAGCGTCTGCCTGCACACACTGGACAACTGGCCATGTACTCACTAGACGCCCGAGGTGTAGACCAGCTGTAGCGACTGGTAGATTTTCAGGAAAGGGTAGAAACCTGCAGATACAGAAAAAAATAATAAAAAAACAATAAAAAGGGAGGAGCATTTGTAGACAGACGAATGCTTCATTATTATTCTCATACAACGTTAAACACTTTCTGTTCACTATTTAAGAATTATAACATAACATAACAACACTGCAAGCTATTATACAAGATTAGTTTGTGTGAAACTGACCTCCTCCCGCCTGAAAGTTTGGTAGTGATGGAATGAGGACCTGGTGGAGGAACAGAGGGCTGCTGTTCATTTTGATGGTACCAGACAGCAAGCCGCCAAAGTAGTAGATGTACCTGTGGAGGAGAGGTGAGGAAATGAAATGATGAAATGATGAGAGCAGCGAGCGACTGAGGCGGTGGCAGCAGCAGTGCAAGAAGTTATATAAAGCAGAGGAGGAAATACAAAGAATATATGAGTGAGACACACCTGTTTTGAGAGGGCTGTAGGGAAGAGGATACTTTGTCTTCACAGAACTTTCTCATTGCTAGCGTGGTGAGAGCCTGGTCCGCTCTGTGGACACAACCAAGTGTATTAATGAATGATTTAGTACAGATCCATGCAAGCAGAATTTAGGAAATGATGGTATTATAGTGCTTCTTTTGGAGGTGGTGAGGTGTATGCCTGTAGTAAATCTGTTGTTGGTTACTTTTTCCAATAATTTAATGTATTGTACAATATATATATATATAGATTTAGAGCTGAAATGTAATAATCAATTAAAGGTTTAAAATGTTTTGGCAAGTAATAAAGCCAAAAAATTCATTGTTTTCAGTTCCTAATATTGAATATTTGCAAGTTTTTAGTCTTTCTGATAGTAAACTGAATATCTTTGGGTTTCAGTGTATTATTTAAATATGTCAACTTGGTCTCTGAGATTCTTTATTGTCTATTTTCAAACATTATATACATTAAATTATTAATTTAAAAAAAAGATCTGCTGGTTATTTGATAGTTAAAATCACAAAGGTCTTCAAAGAAGTCAATTTGATTTCAGCACAAGAGAAATGTATCAACCTGATGACCCATGTAGAGATCAATCTTTTCTTGATTGAAATGCAGCTTTGATGTCAGGTGTAAATTCAGCACAGATAATTGATCTTTCTTTACACACGTTGGTGTACTGAGTGCCTTATTAATTGTGATTACCCAGCTGATATCTTGCTGTAGTGCATGTAGGCAGCCACAATGACCCCTGTCTTCCCTTTGTTTCCCTGAAACAGAACACAGATCACAGCAACTATGACACAGCTTTTCCAACTTTTTTAACATTTTCATAGCAAAGTCAGCAGATGTGGATCGGTTGCACTGACCTTGCAGTGGAGAACCACTACATTGTGGGGATCAGAGGTCAGCCAGGTCTCCATGGCTTTACAAACAGCACAAATCCTGTCCAGGGGCGGGGCGTGAACATCAGGCCAGCCGTAGTCTTGAACCTGAACCATAGAGGAGGAAAGATTCAGTCAAACCTTTCCATTAACCTTTCTGTAACCTATAAAAAGGGTGTGATCTGCCATACCTTTGGGTTAAGTCTGGTGATGTCATGTCTCTTCTCTGATAAATTTAGTAGCTGGAAAAGGCAGAGACACAAATCTGTTTGTATATATCAACAACAAAAGGAATACAGCATATTTATCAATGTAAGACAAATTACAACCTTAAGTTAATATTCCCTATGTTGTCAGTTTTATGACTAACCAAGAACTTGTCTTGGTGCTTGGATTTTAGCATGGAGGCCACTTCCTGTAGGTTTCTGCGGTAGCGCTGCTCCTCCAGGTCTGGTAGGAAGAAGACCGAGATGATCCTCTCCGTGATGTAGGTGAGGTCAAAGTCATAGTGGCACTCCATCACATGCTCCATCACTTGTTCCACACTTTTATTCCTGGTCATTGTGAGAATTTATTGTTTTAATGCAGCCAAAACAGCTATTAGGCGATTAGGACAGTCAGCGTTTCATAATATTTATTTTACTGTATATTTTATTTCTGTGGATCAATTTTACATATCAAATATCATTCACTCATGCTCCTTGGTACCTTAATATGGAGCCTCTCTTCTTCTGTGGTGTAGATTTAGTGGAGCCCTGCTGAGAAACAATAAGAAAAGAGTAAGTCTACAGCAAGGATTGGTTGCATTACATAATATAAAACTACTTTCTTACACACATACCAGGTCCAGTGTTGAGGTACAGGTGGGAGTCACCTGAAAGTAAATGAACACATGGTTTTTGTTTTTTACAGCAGTCACATAACCATATGCACGCACGCACGCACACACACACACACACACACACACACACACACACACACACACACACACACACACACACACACTGGGAATGAACACCAATGCAAAGTCATGTGCTGGTTTAATGCTCTTGGTGTTGCTCCAGCAGCACAGATGAAGGGATGGAAGGATGAGGGGATGAAGAGGAGAGATGATGAGCTGATAGGGTGGATAGTAAGAGTCATTTGCAAATTCTTCACTTCACTCTACACATCTGCAGCAGCTGGTTCGAGGAGGAGGCTGTCAGCACAGATTTGGCTGTTCCACATGAGGGGTTAGTGACACACACACACACACACACACACACACACACACACACACACACACACACACACACACACACACACACACACACACACACACACACACACACACAGCCTTGTACACAATATCAGACACATACACATAAAGACAAACTAAGCATCTCCACTGATGTCTACAGAAATGTAAAGAAATTACTCTTTTGCACACTGTATAACTAACTGGTGCTTATTATGCTGGACCAGGCAGTTGAATAAGCAGAAGTGCTCAGTGTAATAAAAGGTACTCAATAAAAATGATTGATTGTGTTTCTTTTGCCTCATAAAGAAGGAGGAGAAGAGAGAGACGGATAAAGTTTACTGGAGGAACACTCTACATGTGGCGTGCAGTCCTTGTTCTCTGCTGGTGAGCCAACAGTAACTTGCCAAAACCACAAACACACATATACAAGAGAGAAGGAAGCTGAGGCCAGTCAAACAGGGTACAGCCACTAATATACTTCTGTACATTCTTCTGAATTGTTCTACTATAAGGATAGCAGTTGACCCTGAAGGGACAAGCCAGTAGAAACTGGTATGTTATGGCATGTGTTACTTTTCTGACTTATTTGGTGGTTCTCAGTGTAATAGAGATCACATACAATTATTAAAAAGAAGGTGAAAAATAAACAAGAAATGCATTAATAACACAACCTAACAAACAGAAAATACAGAAAATTAGCTAGAAAATGGAATCACAGATTCAGTAATACAGCACAGCTATGGGCTCCAACTGTAAACCTTGACAGGTGACACTCTTTTCAGCTTTTGACCTTTGAACTTTGAGACTGACTGACAGCTGAGCTGCCCTCTGTGGCTGAGTGCTGGCCAGTGCTGACAAGAGTCAGGCAACAGGTTAACAAGTCAAATGCCTGACAATCACAATGATCTACAACTGAAACAACCTCATAAAAAACAAGCCAAGCCAAGGTATGATTACTGCTGCAGGACATTTTCATTACTTCATTTATCATTTCCTTTTTTTAGATTGGTGTCATAACTCCCAGGTAGATATTGGTTCCAAGGACTAATTTGTAAACCATACCTACTCTAACTTTGAAAAAAGAAGACACCTAATGCTCACTACAAATGATTGTTAGTGAGTTTTGGTCCCAGCTCCAGAGAAATGTAATTGTAAGTCTGTTTGATTTTCACTAGCAGTCCCTGACAGTCGAGGTTGATTTGTTTTTGTCTTTGTTCAGTAGATGCAGAAAAGCTGTGTGTTTTGTAGGCATATCATGTCATCATGTCGGCAACAGCAACCTGACAGTGTCGAAATTACATTGAAACTGAGGTTGATAAATTCATTCCATCATTGTGAGGGGCTGCTGCAGCTGCTGCATCATGACCCTCACGCAGCTTCTCAGAAAGAGACCAAAATAATACAGATACACGATACTGATGTGACTTTAATACTGTTTTTATTTGGGTGGTCTTGTCAATTAGGAGGGGTTTGGGCCCACCCAGTAGTACCAGACCAGTGTCTGCCTGGAAGGTTCAAAATTAACAGTAATAATCTATTTGATTTGTTCATAATGGGTTAAATTTTCAGAACAACCATTATGATTATTTTTACCTGCTGTTATTGACATTAGTGTAAATAAGACTGAATTATTCTCTAGAAAAATAGAACACAACATTTCAAAGATGAGCAATGGCACCTGGAACATTACATTTAATTTGTTAGCTTTCTCTTCTATTACATGGCATACACCCAAATGATAGATTTCTGATTTCACGGCACACACAGACTCTGTGACACACAAAATGGAGATGAACGACATTAAAGAGGGAATACAGAGAAAGACTGACTGACTGAGAGTTTATGAGAGTGCGAAGCGGGAAAAGGGGGGAAATATAAATGGACATGTGATTCGAGGGAGGAATGAGTAAAAGGTGAAGTGAGAGGAAAAGGGCATGCTGTAATTGGTTACTACTAACATTCAACGAAATATGCTACAGCTGAACTGACAAGATGATGCCATTATGTGATTATTGTCATGCAGGGTCCATACATACTAACAGCCAACATACTAAACAAACAGACTCTTGTTAAAATTTGTTTGAGTGAGTCGATCTATTTCTTTTCACATACTTCCACAGCACCAGCATAATCTGTACTTTCCAGTGTGTAAATGTACAAAGACAGATCCCAAACATGTTATAAAGCCTACAGCAGGAAATGAAAGAACACAGAGATTCAGCCATAGGGTAGAACTCCTCTCTTAATAGGTTTAATAACGGTGGTTAAGTGGATAAAGTGGATGTCTCCAGGAAGGAACAGTAGGAGACAGACACAACATACACATGTGTACCCATTCGTAAACATGCACACAGAAGAAGACAACGGTTGAACCCAGAGGCAGAGGGCCCCGACAAGCAGCATGGAGGCAGAGGAGGAAGACACCAGAGTCAACAGGAAGCAATTTGCAACAGGATGTCAGCGCTGGTCAACCTAGGTTTACATGTGCACACACGCAAACACACACACACGCACACGTGTCTTTGGAAGCTCTGCCAGCCTCGAGGTCTTCATTAATGCATGTGAACTGTACGCTGGAGCCACTGGGAACGGCGCCATCTGGTTCAGTTTGTCCTGTTCATCAGCTAGCATTTACTGAGGTGCCAATGACAGCTCTCGACCCGCCCTCAGGGACTGACTGACTGACTGACTGTTTAGTGGTTCAGTTTGCCTTGTTGCCATCAAGTAACACTTTTCATTCAAGCAAAAATGGCAAACATCCCCCAGTTTCAGCTTCTCAAATGTGAGAATGGGCTGCTTTTCTCTGTTATCTTTGGCTTTGGGGGAATACGTGTAGTTGCTTTCTTGCCTAAAGTTAGATGAGAAGATACCACTCTCAATGGCAAAACAATGAACATGTGAAAGGGTTTGCTCATAGTGACCAGTCTATAGAGAATTAGCTCATGTGTTTTGCTTGTTTTTGCTATTTGCCTGAAATTTTCAGTTTTTTGTTCATTCTCAACCCGTCATAGCGTCATTTTCGGCAGGAAGCTGTTTTCTTGTAAAAAGCCTTGAAAACACACTGTACTACCTGCTCAGCACCAAAAGGCAGACAGTTTCTTTGCTAAGCCAACTGGCTCCTAGAGAGGCCTGTAAGGAGAGTGGTATCAATCTTCTTCTTCTGGACATACTTCCCAAAATGTCAAATCATTTATTTAAATCATGTGTTTTGTCCAACAAACAGTCCAAATTCTAAACATATTAGGAAAAAAAACATTGAAACACACATATGAGACACTGGAACTAGTAGAACTGAACCGAACCTCTTGATAGAGAGCTGTTGCCAGTTGGCTTAGCGTAAAACAAAGACTGGAAACAAGGAAACAACTAGCTTTAATTTTTACTTTAAAGAATTATTCTTCCAGCACCCCTAAAACTCAACACATTGTAGCTTTTATAGGTACTGGTAGGTGGATTTTGTTACCTTTGGACAGAGCCAGGCTACCAGTTTCCCTGTTCTTCCAGTCTTTATGCTAAGTTAACTATTTCTCAACTATTTTGTTAAGACATCATCTTGGGCTGTAAAAGTTTTTCTCATTACTTTCTGACATTTACTCTGATCAGCTCAAAAGTTGACCGATTAATCAGCATTAATCTACATTAAACCTGTGCAACAAGCAGTAGATCTTCCTTAAGAGTTCCTGGCCACTAATCTCCTCCACAACAGAGTGTCACAAATCTTAAAAGCTGTCACTCCCACAGCTTGAATCATTACTGCTATTCCAGGGCGAGGAAATCCAACACAGGGATCTGCCGGAGCAGCTGAGTCAGTAACGGGAAAGCGGGAGATAAATTTGAGTGTTTGAGACACAGGCGTCAGTATGCCATCCAGGAGGAGCGAGTTTCATTCTGACCATCAACTCAGAGCTGACATCACTCTCTGGAGAGGGAGAAGTGAGTAAGACTTACCATTTCAAGCTGGAAAAGCAGAATACGCACGGCTTATTCCAAGTTCCATAGTCTCACAAAAAGACACTGAGAGCTAAATAAAACTCTGAGGCTTTTTATTTTTTGCACAGACTCTAACATTTCACTCAGGGCGCTGGAAGGCAAATTTAGGAGTGGCTGTGATTTAGGAGGCTTCACATCAAAGTATGGCATTCCCTCTCTTTCTTCTCTCATTATCGCTCAGCTTTTTCTTCCGTTTTCTCTCATCTTTGATCCCTCATTTCTCCATTTCCTACCCCATGCAGACTGCCACTCCCTCCCTTTGCTACCTCACACTCCGTCTCTCTCTACTTTCAGTGCCTGGGGACCGGATAACAATCATCCCTGTGAGATACAAGTATGCGCTCCCCCTGAATAAACAACATCAGATGACAACGGACACCTCGATAAGCATCACGCATAGCCGGGGATAGTCAGTATGTAACTGGCCCGGGGAAGAAGGGAACAAGAGGAAGCACGAATGAGGGCTTAGACCAAAAAAGCTTAGAGGAGGAGGGAAAAAGGCACCAGGAGATGGGAAGGAGGAAAGAGGAGAGGCAAACAGAAAGTGAGAGCGGGGAACTGGATGGGAGAGAGATGTCAACAGCTGAACATGCTGACCACTGACACAGAGCAGAGAGATTTCACAGAGCTATTTTGATAGAGCTCCTTATTTTAGAGCATACCTCACTCAGAACACAAGCACATATTGTCTATTTGTTCATCAGTCGTCTCGCAAATCCACTTGCCTTGTCTTGCAGCAGCAGCAGTGACATTTCCGAGAGATCTGGCATTGGATCTGTACTACAGTTCATGTGACTGCATTGTGGCAACATACATTTGTATTTGGTCCTTGGTGCTTTGCCAGCATCCGATAATTGAAAAGCAAGACATACTTTTATCAACACCTACTGTCTATATCCATCCAACGCATGACTATTATAATATTAAATATTAAAATAATTATATAAAAAATGATGCCCTCTAAGCTCAAATTGATTTTATGATCCTGTAAAAAAAAAATCTGAACTGTATAATTCCTGGGATATCAAACAAGGCTTGCTGTGCACCTATCACTTGGCTTAAGCTCACAGGAAATGAAAAGCAATGGGTAAATATAAACACTGTGCATGTATCCGTGTGTGTGTACACCGTCACTATAATACTTTATTATTGATAAGGCGAGAAGAGCAGTAAAATTAAATTAACCATGATTGTTATTTTGTACACAGTGCATTATGCCGGTGATGGTTATAAATACAACAATGTGACATAATACGTCACCATCTTAATCAAGTCACACAGATGTGACAGGATTTTCCACCTACTTCAACCACCATCCTGCTGAGTTCTCCATCGACTTAGCTATTTCTACCTTCCCATTGATGTGCAACGACACGAAGAGCTACCACAGGACAACACGTCTCCCATGGTGAGACACGAACAGGAAAGACTGAAAAACATGACACTTGTTGCCATGTTGCTCAAGACACCTGCATCAAGACTAGAGCTAAATCAGCCATTATTAGCATATTGCAGATATATCTGTATTGCAGTTTATGTTGGCCAATGAGTGACAAGAAACTGCCGTACGGAAATGCTGTTTTTTTTTTTTTAGGTATTTTAGAAACAGTGTCACCTTTCAATATTCAAGATTTGTATCAAGATTATTTACATTATGTGTCTTTGTAAAGGAAAGATTACAACTTTTCAGGCAACTTTGTTGATTTTTTCCAGCTCCACTTGCATAACATTGTTATGTGCAACATTTACTAATTACACAAGCACGTAGTCCATATAGCATCATAATTGCTATATCAATTCATAAATCAGTGTGAAACATTAGCAGAACAGCTGCTGTGTATGAGCAGACACTGTAACCATCTGTTATTCACTACACAACATTAGGATCCATCAGATGATGTTAGGACAGCTGACTGGATCTGGGAAAAAGCCATTTGTCTGTGTCAGGTGCCCCATGATTGCCTACACTTTATACAACACAGACATTTACACACAGTGTTGAAGTAGATGGATACTGGGGGAAATTGCATTATTACAGCAGCATGCACAAGTTATATAAATCTTGATAGAATTAAAAGTAAGGAAAGTTGTGCATACAGATAAATGCTCGCGGGTGTATGCAGACACTTGTAAATGCCCACATACACACACACACACACACACACACAGAGAGAGAGAGAGAGAGAGAGAGAGAGAGAGAGAAGCAATACACATCTAATCTATCCCAAAACACTCTGGTACAAGTTTAACAAAATGTTACATTAAAAGGCACATATTGTAGCCTATAGAACAGGGATTTGGTACAGTTTCCAATATCTGCCAACCTGCACATACAGTGACAACAGTCTCATTAAAAAGTAAATCATATGAATTCTCTCTCTAGTATTAAAATTTAAAATCTGTGTTTTTTTGTGGGTCACAGCAGGAGTCTCTGCTTCATTTTCTGCACTTGCCTTAATCACAGTAAACGAAATCCTCTTTCTGGGCAAAGCAAGAGCTCTCTGGCTACAGCTTTAATAGAATAATATGCACAATCACATTCTGCATTATCAGAGCAAACACTGTGAAGGGGCTTTCAGGTTGTTTCAACTGCTACTCAGTAGAAAACAAAGTACACAGAGTACAAGAAAATTAAAAACTGATGTGTTGATTATATATGAGTAAAGAAAGCATCAGTAAATACAGCGCAGAGCGTGTTTTTACCTCTCAACAAGCAGCTTCAGTCTTTCCCTCTGCCTCCGAGCAGTCCTGTCTGTAGAGTAGGATACGCTACCTCCCTCCCTCTCTCTCTCATACAAGCTCTCTGCTCTCTCTCTCACCAACTCCCTTTACCTCCCTCCCTCCCTCTCTCACGATAACACACACTACCACTGTGCCAGCAGCACATGCAGCATAGCCTTTCCCTCTCACTCTGCCTGTGTCATACGCACAGTAGAGACAAGTACGTCAACTGTGCTAGTACTTTCCCTTGCACGTGCACTCACACACACACACACACACACACACACACACACACATCAATATGCCACATGTATGCACTGGGCAGTGCTGATGTATAGTGACCTCTCCTGTGGCCTGAGGCTGAGCGAGAGAGAAAGATGACAACAGAGTACGGTTGATGAGGCAGACAGATAGACAGAAGATGCACAAAGGATGCAAGAAAAATACTTAAGTGGTGATGGTAATGGAGATGTTACTAAGATGGCATAACACAACACTGATGAAAGCATTCATGACTTGAAAAGAAGAAGGAAAAATGCCACAGAGAAGGTGAGAGAAGCTTTAACTTCAACTATAAAACATCAAGAAAAGCAGAAATCTGACAGATTAAAGGTAAAAAAAAAAAAAGATGATGACAGTGAGACGCAAGAGATGAAAGAAGTAAGAAAAGCAATGTGCTGACATATGAGATGCACATGGAAACTCATAGAGGAAACACAGTGGGAGCATAGCGTGACATGAACCAGACAGCAATTTGCAGCCTTGACCCAATGTTCCCCTTTATTTATGAATACCCCCAAATGGGACTGATTACACTCACACACACAGTCTGCCTCCCCAGCTGCCTCTCACTTATTTGTGTCCCCCCACAGATCACTCACTGGCAGGCATCTATGGCACTCTTGTTATTTTCTATATTTACCCGCTCAGACTTCTCCTATCCAGATTGATCATCGTCCTCCTGTGTGACGATGTCTACTCTCGTCCACGGCGCCTGCCTCTCCTGCAGCCACCAAGAGTTGTTTTTGGCTATCACTGTGGTGACCAGGGGGACGAGTATGACAAAAATAATAATCCTCTTTTAATGCGTGCTGCTAAGGCACAACAGCTGGTTGTGCCCTGTTGTACACCGCTACGGTGTGTGTGTGTGTGTGTGTGTGTGTGTGGAGGAGGAGGAGGCAAGAGGACAACACCCCCCCCACCGTAATAAATCCCATAGGATTTGAGCTGACCTAAAGAGCTGAAAAATAAAAACAGTGGGTCTCTGCTTGTTTCTGTGTGTTTGTGCTGTTGGACAGTGAGGCAGTTAAAGCAAGGTCACAAGCTCACTCAGTGGTGTGTGAAACTGAGCTGCTGTAGGCGGGGTCACATGAGAGCAGGCTGGCAGTGGTTTTGATGTAAGCTGTGGACAGAGAGAGTGCCTCTCTCTCTTCTCTCCTCTGTGATGAATTTGACCCAGTATGATTGTTTGATGGCAGTGCAAAATGGTGACAAGCATCTGACAACACTTCACATTTACCACTGATGCGGTGTATGAAAATACTGGGCAAGTTGAGCTCCATTGTAAATGTGCAATGACTACAAAATCACACGCATCTCATATATTAGATGTGAAGTGTCAAAGGTTAAAGCCATAATGTGATGACAATTATAGACCCTTTTCACAGCAGCCATTGAAATAGTACAGTAAAGTTACAGTGTTACCAGTGACACTAATTAAGGTTCTGATCCATCCAGCAGTGTAGCAGAGCTTTTTCAGTAAGCCAACATGCACAACAGCCGCAACCTGACTCTGTGTTATTTCTGCTGTGAAGAAGGTCTATATTGCAGCAAATGTGTAATGATCATTTGACAGAGGAGTGAATTCAAAAGGGAGAGCTATTTAGAGAGAAAGATAGGATGCCTTAAGTAACAAATCCTAAAACAAATGAAAATCTGTGCGCTGTGCTGCTTCTTGTGCTTTTCTTCTCATCTGACCCCCACAGCTTACAGCTCACAGCTTACTGCCCCCATCTCATCAGCTTATGAGCACTTCTTGCAGTATCAGAATATGGTGTAAAATTTAATAAGCACAAATGCTTCATATGAAGCAGTATTAAGAGAATCACCACTGAGACTTCCTGGGTGCTTCAGGACTCCCATGAGCTCCAGCTTTGCTGCGTTACCACATGACTGAATTACTCATGGCAACCTGGCTGTTTGCAGTTCATGGGGGATGCCTTCTTTAACCAGACATCTAGGTCAGTGCACATGGCTTATTCCACTTAAGACTCACACCGTATTAACATTGGAAGCTCTGACACAGGAGCACAATTTGGTCAGGACAGGGGGAAGGTAAAACAAGTGATCTGTGATGAATTTAGTAAGGAAATGTATGGCTTACCTTGGCTTCACATGTCTTGTGAACTGCAACCTTGCACTCTGCACACAGTGAGGAGAGAACAGAGGTAAGGAACATCACAACCTGGCTGTCAGCTGTGAAAGAGACAATGTGAGGGCAGCCAGGGTGACCTCATCTATGTCAGATCTACAGTAGGTATGTATCCAAGCTGGTCAGTTGTGTCTCTGGGTCTGCTGCCTGACCACCCTGTGACGTGGACTCACCCTTGCAGAATGCCCCGGGGTTGTCGATGTTCTGCTTGCACACGTCGCACACTCGCTTCCTCTTGAAGCTCTTCTCTGTGAAGACGTGGCTCCCTGCTTTGGCAAGCTGCAGGCACACATTGGAGTCAAACCTGATCATTCTCACAACAAATTAATAGAATAAAGAGGTAAACAATAAATGCCACAGCTCGAAGGAAGTCATTTACCTAATGATGCAGCAACTGTGCACTTTTGAAAAGATACCAAGTATGTGGTTGTGATGTGTTCAGTTTTAGCCGTCTTCCCATGTGGCATTTTATGTCAGCATTGTTCCTGAAGCAATAGATGGTCACTGTCTCCTGTGTGGCTGCTGTCAGTACAGATGTGCGCTGGTTCAGCGACACACCAGCATCCTTTACTAAAAATACCTGTCATATCACGCTGTGTTTTAAGGCATCCTGTTGTCTTGTCTTTTAACTTGTCCTCATTCTGTCTCAGTCTGTCGGGCAGCTAAGATGATGAAAGAAGCAGTTTTCTGTACTGCCACCCCCCTCTAATGTTCTGTATGGTCACAGGTAAGCTAAATGTAATTTAATAGATGCAGATGGTGTTTGTTTTAGTCATGTCAGTTGTGATGTAGTTGGTTTTCTTCAGGTCTCTCGGTGTGTTAGTCTAGCTGTGTCGTTTTATCCTCTCTGTCATCACTGGTATTTGTATTAGCCCTGCTAGTGGCATGAATTGTTCTATAGGTGGCAATGTTAGTCTGCCCAACACTTTGGTCCAGACTGAAATATCTCAACAACTATTTACTAGATTACCATGAAACTTGTTACAGACGTTCATGTTCCCCAGAGGATTAATCTGACTAAAGTAACTAATGACATTCCTTAGCCTTCGCTGTATTTTGCTGTTTGGCAAATGTTAGCATCCTAACACTCTAAACTAAGACGGTGAACATGGTAAATTTTAAACGTGATAAGGACCAGCATGTTACCATTGGCACTGTGAATGCTATGTTGCCATGCTAGAGTTAGCATTTAGCTCCAAGCATGGCTGTCCTTCAGTACTGTCTTTAATTATACATAGACTCCTAGTTGTGAAATGATGCTTTCTGCTGACCAGTTTTATTTTGTCCACCTTCCCTTTAATAGCCAATCCAAAGGCCTTTCCTAATCCCAATACATAAATACAATTACTACAGAAAATTGTAAAACAAAACAACAAGGAAAAAAACTGTAGACAATAATACATATAAACTGTGTAAACGAAACTATCAGGTAAATACTGTTACTGTTAAATATTTAACATTTATTCATTGTTGGTGTCCCGGGGTAGCCGGGGTCTCTGCTCTTTGATGACAGGCTTACTATACGTTTCCTTTCAACACAGCAAGGTGGTAACACACTGAACCATCATGGCAGCTGTGCAAACACGAGACATGAGCCTCTGTGGGCAAAGCAAAGAAAGAGATGAAGGTAAATCTGACACAGACAGACCCACTGTTCTCTTTATTTATCAAAACTCAAATTTCTTCTGATACGTCATTATTGGCTGCAAGGTTTAACATAAGAAGAATACCCTAAATGAACTGAATGATACTCAATAACAGTATACATTTAAATGACAGAGGAGAGGTTTAATCCTTGAGAAAAATCTAAAACGTGCATCTGTTGCCCGCGCACACACACACACACACACACACACACACACACACACACACACACACACACACACACACACAGGCACACAGGCACACACACACACACACACACACACACACACACACACACACACACACACACTCAGTGCCCTGAGTCATAATTCATGGATTTTTCTTTTTAAAAACCAATACTCAACTCTCCCAGTGAAAATAAATAGGACAATGTTTATATAAAGTTATGGCAATATCCTCCCAAAGCAATGCCTTCTGACAGCATGTGAAGCACATTAAACCATTAAATCTTTCCTTGAGCAGAGAACTAGGAGGGAGGGGCCTGGAAACATTGGGAGGGATGTGTGTGAGTAGAGAGAGAGAGAGAGAGAGAGAGAGAGAGGCACTGGGGAAGGTGGAAACAGAAATGGCGTACCTGCACACACTGCTGTTTGTTTTCTTATTAAATGGCTCGATGCATTTCTCTGGTCTTGAAAAAACATTTCTCAGCTCATGTTTTGACTTTTTCCGATGCCTGGGTTTTTCCAAACAGAAGAGACATTGAATTTAACTGTGGAAGGTGAAGGTGCCTGCATGTCGATTTGGACTCTCACAACCACTTACACTTTATTGACTATCCAACACCAGAGACTCACTTCTCCCACCATCTTGAATTGTCAGTGGAAGCCAACTCATTCTGTTAACCACAATGTATTATAAAACAGCCAAGTCTCTGAATTGGAGCATACACAGTTTAAATCCTTAATGACCATAAATGTATAATTCATGTTTCATGCAGCCCAACCTTGAGGTTTGTATGGTTACGTAATGTGGACATAAATGAAGCTGACTTGCTCCAACTACACTTTCACAACCCTCAACAAAACAAATTCACAGAACTCGTTTTATGAAAAACGGTGAATACTTAAAAAAAAAAAAATTAAATCTACTTAATCCACTTGCAGGTGATTTAATGAGGGTTGGATGTCCCCCAGTCGGGTTCGGGGGTCACACTGGGTGTTTAAAATTGAAAGGCATCAGTTATATAATAAATTCACTAGCGCAGTGCACTCTATTGTCATATCTAACAACGAAACCCTCCCAGGTGGAAAAACAGTATTTATTTTGGTCACTGACCCGGACTGATCAGATGCTCACAGGCAATTGATGGGACACATTACCATTATGCTGTATGTATTGATCTCATAAACAAAGCAGCAGAGGAACTTTGGACTATTGACATATACAGTATGTCCTCTGCTGTTATGATGAATGGAAGCTGCTATGAACTGTGGCATCTGCTGAATGTGTTGAATCTGGGTCTCTGCATGTGTACTAGTGTGAGTGTGTGTGGGGGGGATTTAGGAGGAGAGATGATGGACCAGTGAACCTGACAAAAAGCGGGCATATGAGGGGAGAGAAGGATCATCACCTCCTCCCGCCATTTACATTTTAAATGTTATTACACAACTCAGGAATTTTGGAGCTTGAATCAATTGGACTTATGTAATGGCCCAGTGAACTGACCTGAGATCATCTGTAGGATACAGAGTAAAGTTCTCAGTAATGACACTGAGGAGGTAGTTGGACCATATTCTCAGTAAAAGAGAGCTACAGCATTTATCAAAATCACTTTCAAGAGAAATTAAGCATTATGAAATTCCACAAACAACTGAATCCTTTGCTACAAGAGAAAAGTTTAATAATGATATATTTCTTAATGCTATACTACCAATATGTAATATATCTTGATATATCAATGGCTTAAAATGTACATAATGTTAAGATAATCTTATTTTAAATACTCTATGAATAATGGTGATAACATCAAAACAATAACATCAATAACTAATCACAGTCGAGTGTCATGTGACTAAAAAACATTGCATTATTTTTTCCTTTGACATTTGCTTCGCGTCAACTAAATTACAAATGTTTTTCCATGTTTATACTTGTATTTAGTGTTTTGTGGAAGTTGTAGTACTGTTGAATAAAAATAACTAGAAATGTGGCCTTTATAGAAACATGGCATCAACGCAACTCAAATATTTAAAGTAAAGTAAATTGACTCGTGCATTGAAGTACAAGAATGAGTGGAATGAGGTCCATCAAAGCTGATCCTGGCCACATTAATCACTTGGAGAACTGTGAATCCTTTTCAAGAGACAAACATCCCAGACAACAACTTCAACAATTTCATATTGGATGAACAGAATTGTATCAATTCCATGTTGAAACCTGACCACAATTACTCATCTGCTGATGTCAGTGTGTCAGTTTGAAGTTCAAACTAAAAAGGCAGGATGAGTAAAGGGCACCACCTGATGGACAAATGGTTGTAGTGCAGTTAAGCCCCCCAAAAAAGGACAGACATTTCTAAAGTTAAAGATAATGTTATCACAATTTACTTCCTTACTTGGAAGCTTGAGCAGACTGATTAAATGATATATCTCTATATATAATTTATATATAATGGGTTAATATAAATAAAGATATTAAAATAATTTATATAAATAAAAGGTTTTCTGGTGCATAGGAGATTCTGTTTCCATAGCGTGATGAAAAGTTGGCAATTGACATTTTCTGCTCTACAAATAAACAAAACTCTTAAAGAAGAACTTCAGCTTTCTCACAGCGTGTTAGCAGAGTTGGCAGCAGTATAGGCTAGTGAGTTAGCACTCAAGTTGAAACAAATTATGCAGTAATCATCTGTCATATAATGGGACATACGGGATCAAAGAACAGTCATTAAATTAAAAACCGACACAGATGAAATGAGTCATGAATCTCACTGTGTGGCAGTGTCTTTTTATGCGATGCTGCCTCTTGCACTTTTTCCCCAGTTATTGCTCTCTCCCTCCATTTCTCAGCTTCAGTACAAAGAGTGGAAGTCGGTGGGGGGAATTTACACTGCATTAGACTGTACAGGTGTCCCCCTCCCCCTTTACGCGGATTTGATACCAGTAATAATAACAAACTCTGGTTGAATGGACATTCAGTCTCCAGAGACTCCCGTGACTATCAGCAGTGTTGCAGTATTGCAGTACTGAAGGACCCCACCCCATTTGGATTTTTGCAGCCAAAGTCTATGTCATTCTGCAAGCATCTCTGACCACTGCAGAGCCCGAAGCACTTCCACTTCTAACACGGAGTTGAGGAGTGGGTCAGGCACCAGCAGCAGCATAATGGATTTCTTTATGACTGTGGCTGCGTGAGCTTTTTATTACTGTGTGAATGAACAGCAGCATTTTAAGGGTGTTATTCCAAAATAACTCAGCTATACTGACAAAGAAAACATGAGGAAGTTATCTACAGCTGAGGCGCATTAAAATGTTGTTTAACACATTTCGAAGAGTGCAAACATTACAATTATATGACTGTAACATCACTGTCATTGCCAACTTTTCTGTCATATGTCTGAATGCATAAAAACATGTATTTCATGGAATATACACACTGCTTCAAATGGCACACACACACACACACACACACACACACACACACACACACACACACACACACACACATGTAAATGAATACAGAGTACAGTGACACACCCCCTCGCCACTAAATGCCTTGGTCTGTGTGAGTGTTTTTTTCAGTGACACCTCACTGGTGATGACATGCAGGAGCCACAACCTCTGACACACACACACACACACACACACACACACACACACACACACACACACACACACACGATCCACTCAGGAAGGGACGGGAGCAGGTGGCGAGCCAGGATCTAGTTCTGGCAAGTTATTTATAACCTGCATGAGTAGGGGGTTTCACCTCTAAACAGCAATGAAAATGCTGAAAATAGGTGTGGGAATGACTGTGAGTGTGTGTGTGTGTGTGTGTTTGTGTGTGTGTGTGTGTGTGTGTGAGAGAGAGAAACAGAGAAAAAAACAGACACTACAAACAATATAAAGAACTCCTGGACTGTTGTGTGTATGACATATTTCATTCCTCTCCACTGCAGAGTCCACCCATTCAGTTGGGACTATGTTATCATAATTTGGCATAGTTAGACACACACACACACACACACACACACACACACACACACACACACACACACACACACACACACACACACACACACACACACACACACACACACACACACAGAAATTCAGACACAATCAGGGCTTTTGTGGATTTGAAGCCACATGTGATCTGAGTGTTTTTGTTCCAGACATTCACTGTGCAGCACCTCACAGCATTATGTGAAAGTATAAACACATCACACAAACATCCTAACAAGGTACACTTTGTGATTTTTCGTCTTTGTCCTTTGACGTGCAGCATGCCAGAGTTTGATTTACTCCGACATGTGAGAGCGCACTCATTCTGGTGTGTGGCCTTGGTGCTAAACCAACAGACACTTTTTATTTTAGTCTCTATAAAAGTCCTCCAGAGGCTTTACATGTGGAGCTTGCTCCTAAATCCATACATGTTCCTAAATAGAGGCAGCAGACAGGGAGACGGCGGATCGGAACCGGACAGTAACTTATACCACTTCCTCTTGAACCTTTGACCGCAGAGGGACATGATTAACAAGAGGATATACTAGTCTGTGTCTTTTCCCCCCTCGTAGTTCATCGCCACCGATTCCTTTATTAGGACTGACACATATATACGGCCATCAAAATCAAATACCTACATGATAGTGGCTCAGGTCTGCAAACATTACTAGTGCATGCAATTCATGCTTGTTGAATGGGACCTGCAAAACGGACGTTTATCCATCGGTATGCAAGCATGTGTGGCATGAGATGCTTCTGTTCTGCTTAATGCTGATGAAAATACAGAAGAGGAATATTTCGCAAGAGAGAGAGAGAGAGAGAGAGAGAGAGAGAGAGAGGCACTGGGGAGAGCGAGCTTTGGAGCCCAGAGCTTCATCTAATTTGGAAACGTAGTGGTAATTCTTTGGATTCCTTTTGGTTGATGTCTAACACTAGTATGTGATGGATATAGTGTGTAACAATTAAACAAAGTTGAGCTTCTCCTTCTGCTGAGTCAAATGACAAACACTAAGCTGCATCTGTGCCTGAGACAGCTGATCTTTTGCTCTGTTTATCCTCCAACCTTTAGATACTAATGGACTCACCCAACATACTGTATGACATTTCTGTTTACACTTCCCTAAAGAGCAGTTATTGACTTACCTCAGCAAGTTGAAGGATTTCAGGATGTACCTCGGGGTCTGCCTTTAAGGGGATTCCTCCTGTGTCAGTATCAGGTCCATGTTTCTTCATCCTGCCAGTGCTTGTGCTGTGAATGCACCCCATACTTCCTCTTTTGCCTCGTACGTCTAATATTCCCCAACTCTTATCCGCTCCTTCCAGACAAGTGTTTTACTCCAGAGGGTCCCTCTTGTTTTCCTCCTCTCAGTGCTTCATGTTTTGAAGGGTCTCCTTATGTTTCTGCGACAGCTAATGTCTTCTTCTCCAACATGCTCCTTCTTCCCCCGGTGACTCCTCACACCTCTGCCCTTCTCTCTGACAGCTTGTCCTGCCCTGATATCCACCCCAGATGACTTTTTTTCCCCCCCTCCTTTCCCCCTCTCCTCTTACAACCCCTGTTTCTCCCCTCCAAGAAGTGTCACCAAGCGCAGACCCTCCACTCCCCCCCCCCCCACCACCCTCTCTCTCCTCTTACACTCTTCCCTGTCCCTTGCTCCCAGGCTATCCTTACTCTAAAAGCACACAAGCATACACTCACCACCTCTCCCTTTTCACTTGCCAGTACCTCCTTCTCTTCTCCTTCGCCTTTACAGACCCTCAAATGTCTTGCACAGCGCTCTCTCGCACTTACAGACCCTCCAGTCTTCCCCTCTCCCTCGCTCCATCAGGCTCCTCTTGCTGTCCCTCCACAGGGGAGAAGGGGGCAGCTGTTTTGGCTTGTTGATGTCAGGCCCTTCCCCTTTCCTTTGGCTTCACTTCAGCCCCTCTCGCTCTCTCCTTCCTCATGGGGGAGTGATTAGATAGAGCTCCTTTCACACACGTCATCCCTCTAGACGCTGTAACTTTGCACATGAGAACGTACTGTGGGCTTGATCCCACTTCTGCCTCCGCTCAGCTTGTTCTGAGTGAAGTGAAGACTTTTAACTATAAGCTTGCCCGGATACTTAATACATTGGCACATTTATTTTATTTTTTACATCTCTGCATCTCCCTTGGATGTTAAAATGCTAGATGTGATTAAGTCCACCACCCTGTCTGATATAGGACACATGACAACCCAATATTAATGTCCTCTCTTGATTCCCTCTGTTGCTCCCTCCACTGAAATGAAAACAATGATAGGCTCTGTGCTTAAATCTTAGATCTGCTTCTCCCCTCGTTAAATTCCTTCAGACTACAGCTCTCTCTCTCTCTGTAACACACACACATAACTGTATTTCCCCAAACTGGGTTCTCCAGACAAAAAACTTCTTTAAGCTGGAGGTTTCAGGGTTGTGAGGGGAAAATCTCCAACAATAAGCTCTTTCTGAAACCATGTTTTTGGCCCCTGGTGAGATCATACAAAGCGACCCTTGGTTTAAAGTGAGACAAATCTGTGGCTGAGGCTAAATTAGGCAACAACACTGTGCATTAATTCATTAAGTTGATTAAGTAAAAAAAAATTGCAGCAACTTGAGAGATACCTCTGTGTTACAGCTCCAGCTGCAGACGTGTGTGGTTAACAATAACAGGTGAAATTAGTAAACGATGACGGGGAATTTAACTTGATACATCTCCTAGGGACCTGAGTGACGCAAACCCCAGGCATGTTGTGGGTTAAAGTGGAGGAAGGAAGGACCCTCCTGAGTGGATCAGCTGCCAATTTCAAATGGCAAAAGTAGTGAGGGTCTGGTGGTGGGTGGGTTGGCTGCACTCACACAAACTCTAAGATATAGCCCTCTCTTCTCTGACAGTAAAGGGAGTATTCAGATCTCTACTAATGCAGGAATACTACAGGCTAATGTAAAAATAATCCAAGTAAAAGTCAGCAGAATTGAATACCATTATATTATAAAATTTTTATTGCCGATGCATTAATGTGAGTCATGTTGCAGCGTGTAGAGATGAAGCTGTCAGTAGTTTAATTCCTAACAATGTATGATATTTTATGACCAGATGACGTTTGTATGTAGAGTCTGAATCTATAAGGTAACTAAAGCTGTCAAATAAATGAGTACAATATGAGACTGCATAAAATGAAAATACTCAATCACTTTGAAAGTGTACTTGATTTATGTACAAAGTGTGTACACACACTACACAGAACTATGCTGAATGTACACAATAACAGGAACAATTGTACTTATCCGTAATATTTGTTCTCCTAGATGATTTGTTTCTAATTTTCATTACTGCTGCCACCATTCACAGAAACGTAAATATAAAAAGCAAAGGGCCTTTTGTAGTTTGTGTAATTGTAATGTGGACAACATAAGACCTCATGTTTACTGTCTACAGGCAGTTGATACTAAACACTGAGTCAGCATTTCTCTGTCTTATGCTTTTACGATGAGTGACCACTTCAGTATAAACAATATTCACTAAGATGCCTTGTGAAAATAACACAGGGCTGATTTTGTTTGTAACAGATAATGAACCTGAAAACTGCTGTGCCACTGCTGAATTTCAACATACACAAACTCTTTCAGGAGTAATTATTATATGGTACCTCAAACACTTGGAAATCTACATTAGAGGGTATTTTGCTAGCTGTTCACCATTCCTTCTGTCAGTCTCTGGTATGCTGATGTTCACTGAAAAGAGTGCCTGAGGGTCTAGAGTACTACTGTCTTACAGAAAAGTGGGTGCCCTCTGTGTGTGTGTGTGTGGGTTGTGAAGCACAGCAGGATCTTAACCAGCTGCCACCAGGAGTCCAGTGCTCAACAGGGGGTCGAGACTGAAGAAATACTGTGGTAACCGTCTGCCTCTCAGACCACACCAGGAGAACAGAAAAAATACTTTGTTGTTGCACATAAAAGTGATACATCTGAGGATGCAACTCGCAATCCTGCGACTGACCGGTTCATTTAAACTGCCACGCTGTCACAAGAGCGCGTATAGGGCCTAGTCGGGTTAACAAAGGCAGTAAAGAGGAGCTGCAGTTTGGCTACGAGGCGCTCGACCCGCAGCTTGAATCCCTCCAGAAATGCATACAATGACGACATACTATTTAAATGTACATAATGACCCCAATTTATTGCAAATTGGAAGACAGGTTCATGTAATCTCATGGAAATCCTCACTCTACTAAAGCCAACTCCAGACTTTCCCCAAATATTTGTATTCCCCACTTCAGGAAGAGTGAAGGATTTAGACAGCTGTTGAGGATGTTTCAGATGACTGGAAACGACCATTATGAGCCTTTAATTGGTTTGATTATTTCATCAGAGGGTGTAGAAATAGAGAGACATCTGTACAATGATTAGGGATGATGGTAATGGCACTGGATTCTCTGAGTGAGAATCGTGTAGCGTCTGTTTTTCCTTTCAGTCTCATACACAAGTCACTCCTGCAATAATGTAGTCTATGTGTTACAGTCCTCTCTTGTAATTCTGTGAATCAGTTTAGAACTAATTCAATCAATAGTGCACACATGATTGACAAATGTTTTTAAATTAGTAACCAGCCTCAGCAATCAGGACTGTTGGTACTGGAAGACAGGATTTTCTTGACTAATTTCCATAAATAAATTTGATTTGAGAGGTTGATTTAAAATAATTCTAATACCAAATTACTTACTAATGAATAAAAAGGGCTTATAATTAATAGTTATGCATTTAATCTAAGAATTAAGTCAATCAGTCAAAAGTTGATATAAAAAACAAACAACTTACTAAACCACATTGTGTCATATAAGCCAACCTCACCACACCTGTGATCCACAAATATACAAATTGATTTTTTTCCCCACTTTTTCCATTTATTTATTACAATTAATTCAATTTTATCCATCACTTTGTCATGTCAGCTACTCCTTTTTTCCATTTAAAACAAGTCCAGTATGCGACTATTCTTTAGAACCTGAATAGTCTTGAAGGTGGGGCAGGGGAGGGAGGATGGGTGGGTGTTTTGAAAGTAAAGGACAGGTTTGAAGGAGGAAAGAAGGGAGGGAGTTTTGTCCTCCCTCCCAGGAGCCTCTTCCACGTGAGGAGTTTTTTCATAAGCTATGTGAGATTATTTATTTTTTTCTGCGGTCTTCGTTTTCTCCTCGTCTTTCAGGCCTCATCTCGTTATTTTCTTTCTAGTCTACGTCCTCCGCGTCGTCTCCTTGGTCTCCGTCCATTAGCAAAGCGGCGTACTTACTGGCTGAGCTGAACTTCTGAAAAAAAACAACAAGAAAATACACCTTGGATCGGTACAGTAGCTTTGGATGCTAAACAAATAAAGCGTAGACAGGAGAGAGAAAAGATGTCATCTTTCTCAAGGAACAAGAAACAACATTAGGGACAATGATTCTGTGACCTGGGCTGTTGTTTAAGAAAAGCAGAAAAAAAGGATGTTTTTAAAAACTAATGTACGGGGGGAGCTGAGGTAAAATGACTTGAGACTTTAGGGAAACCCTTTAATGAAGAGTAATTTTGGTGACATCAAAGTCTCACTAAACCTTGGCAGTGAAGGACTTACGGGGGTTGGGGTTTCTTCGAATTTCTTTGGCTCTGGGGGTGGTCTGGAGTCTCGGTCTCTTCTGTTATCCTTTCTACAATCAGAATTAACACCCAGATTAAAATGTATCGGCAGGTCTCAGCGCTAGAAAGTTAACCCTTGCTATGAATCCTTAAAACACAGCTAACAACAGAAACTAAAGGAGCACAAACTATGCTCATTTGCATCATCTGAAAATTAACATCTACAAGCTACTTGGCACCCAGTTCACACTGTGCACAATCCTCAGTTTCAGAAGAAAAACATCAAATAAAATTCAGAAATATCCCAAATTTCAGTAGTAACTTATGTGGTACTCTTGATGTTTTGATCATGATGACAATGGCAATTGTAACCAGCTGGTGTAAAAAAGATAAAGCATTAAAACGTGCACACCAGAAATCATGGTGTCCACAACACAAGGAGCAATGAATCATCAGTTGTGTAACTGAGCATAGGCCAGTCTTTACAGATGCCCAGTAAATGTCCTCCCTGTCTCATTAACAACTTTGGAGCTGCTAGCTTTGGATGGCTGACCTGTCTGCCTCCTTTCTTCGGTCTCTGTTGGACCCCTCTCCTCGGCCCCGCCCTGCTCCAGGCCCTGCAGGCCCCCTCGTGCCCGCGGGGGCCCCCGGTCCCGACGCACACCGTCAGCCTTGTTCTCATCTTAAATAAGAAGCCAGACAGATGAGTGAAGGGAGGTTGGTGGACTTTTACAGTAGACTACACTCACAACACACTGCAGCATAAAAAGCCACTGGGTTGGATTCAAAACGTGTTAGTCACTGATGGAGGGCCAAATGAGAGGTGCACAACTGTTTGAATGCAAGCCAAGCTTGTACACTGGAACTCAGCACCTTTCAATTTGATAGTGTCTTGAAA